TGAAGACCTCTGCTTTATACTCAGCATCCACTTTTACAAATAAAATGTAATATACCATCAACAGATAAATGAGATCCCTACAGGGCTTTTATTCTGCCGTACCATTATATCCACTTTTCCATAAGATTTCTGCTTAAATGGCTCTCTTTATGCACATACACAAAGATGACATACACCTGTCTCAATATAATCTGATAGTGAAGTGCTCTTCTGTATGGGGAAATGTATCGTTTCTTCCTAATTTACCATAATGACTTATTCACACTGCCGGAGCTAGGGGTACGTTAGCTCCCCCACAATAAAAGTCACCAAGGTGTTACACAGTAAGACGCAGATGGATTTTTTTTTTTTTCTCTCTTTAGAGAAGAAAAAGAGAGGAGGCCTGAATCTCACCCTTCTGTCTTCCCCATAAAAACAAACGTTTTGAGGAATTACAGCTTTATAGGTTGCTGACATTGACTAATAGTTTGTAACGTGATTAAAGCATTTGTGCAAGCCACACTGAAGAAGGCTTTTTTTGTAAACCTGAGAAACCTCAAAGCAAATGGCCATGCTGTGCCATAGGGTAGCTCAGAGATCGCTGCCAGCACAGTAGCCACCTCCATGACACTTATTCAAGAAGGAGACCTATTTATTAGCAAGTAGTGTCACTTTTCTGTCATCCTGACTATTTTGGTCAAAAGTAACCTGCCTCAGAGAATAAAAATCCCTGACTCCTTTTTCATGAAAGAACTCAAAGCATTTTATGATCTGGACACACAGATACCAGATAGTTACAGTCACAACGCTTTGGGCAACGGCGAGCTGAGGCTCGACAGAGAAGTACTGCAGAGAGACAGGATGAAGGAACAGGAGAGAGAGGCGTATGTGAGGATTTTGGCTCAGGTTATTGCGCTAACGAAATGTGAAAGGAAGTTTCAGTGCACCAGCAGAATAGAGAGGACCTCATTTTTGAGAAAGGATGGGGTGCAGAGAAGACTAATTGTCAGCATATGTCAGAATCACACCAAAAGCCTGCTCTTCTTTATTTCTCGCTCTTATTAGTCACAAAGGCAGGACCATGGCGTGAATAGATGCAGGCAGGATAGACTTCGGTGTCAGAGCTGATCTTTATGAGGCTGCAGCATGCTGATAAGTATATGTGAAGTTTGCATAGGCACTTTCTACCAAAGGGCACCCAAAATTCAAAAAGGGGCATAACTATTATATGTAGAAATGCATGCACCTACCATTCCTGACAGGAAGAAGCCACAAGCTGACCTGCTTTGCCAAGTTTACTCTTTTGAAAATGCTGGCTTTGCCCTAAACCCTCTACTTTTCATTTGCATTGCCATAAGAGTCACTGCCAAGCTTCCCTGGACAGATGCTGAGCCGGTATTAGAGAGAAGGGCTGTTTAGTGGGTGCGAGAGGGCTCTGTTATGAGACTCCCTAATTCTTCACTGCTCAACTTCATAAACCTCACACAGCATTATTTTCATCTTCAGGGAAGAAGAGTGGCGTGTCCAGACTGGTGAGAACTGGATTAACTCCTTTCTCCACCCTCCAAAATGATACTGTGACTTTAGGTCACCGATGCTGATCTGCAGCTATCGCAGGTTTTTCTGCAGCCACGTATGTCCCGGACCCTGAAGGCATCGCAGCGGCACTTACCCTGCATGCAGAGCCCGTCGGTGCAGTTCTTGGACTGCAGCACCAGCCCCTCGCAGTCCTTCCCCCCGTTCTTCGGCGCCGGGGCCGTGCACTCCCTCCGGCGCCAGTGGGTGCACTCTGTGCCGCAGGTGGACCACTTGCTCCAGGACGTCCACTTGCCATCCACTGAGACAAGGAGAGGACACGACTTGTTAGGAGGTACATAAAAGTCAGACCAAGCAAGAGCGATGTACGTCTCGGCATAAGCCAGCCTGCAACTCCTGGCTGTTCCTGGCAAGGCAGAAGGATCGTCAGTCTGCTCTTAGAAAGAGTCAGTTTGCTCTTCTTAAAGTTCTATTTCTGACCTGTAAATGCACATTCACTCTCCCTCTCCTTTCTCTCTGCCCTGGCTCCATTTCTACTCTTTCCTCCCCTTTTTATAAACTTGCCGGTAGTTCATCTGTGCCCAAAGTGTACAAGAAAATGACCATCAAGTCAGGA